AATGCAACAGGCGGCCAGTGACCTCAGTAGAAGGACTTAGGTACCTGTTCACCAATACCAGAAGCATGTGGAACAAGCAGGGGGAACTAGTCCTCCTGCTTTCCACTAGGAACTACGATCTAGTAGGGATCACAGAGACCTGGTGGAACTCCTCTCATGACTTGAGCGTAGCCATAAAGGGCTACGTCCTTCACAGAAGGGATCGGGTAGGGAAGAGAGGTGAGGGTGTTGCCCTCTATGTGAAGGAGCAGTACACCTCCCTACAGGCTGATGTTGGTCCCAAAAAAGAACAGCTTGAAACACTCTGGGTCAAGCTCTGGGGTAGGTGTGGTGAGAAAGACCTGACTGTAGGAGTATACTATAGGCCGCCGAACCAAGGGGAGGAACTTGATCTGTGTTCGCCTGTGAACTAACGGAGGCTGTGCGTGCAGGGGACATGGTTGTCATGGGTGACTTCAACTACCCAGACATCTCCTGGGATGAGTGCTCGGCCAGCTCAGATCGATCACAATCCTTCCTGACCAGCACTGAAGAGGTTTTTTGGACTCAGGAGGTGCACAGACCAACTAGAGGCAATGCAGTTCTTGACTTGGTCCTGGCCAAAGGGGATGATCTGGTGACCAACTTAAACATAGAGAGCAGCCTAGGTAATAGTGACCATGAAATCATTATGTTCATGGTCTGTCGCAAGACTGACAAAACAGATACCAAGCTCAAAGTCTTAGACTTCAGAAATGCAAATTTTAATAAAGAATGCCCTGAGAGACCAAGGACCACAGGTAAAGGGCACATGAGAAGAATGGTTGTTCCTTAAGGGTACAAACCTTAAGGCTCAGAGAAAATCCATTCCGTTATGGAGAAAAAGTAACAGAAGGGTCAAAAAACCCTTTTGGCTAAGCAGGAAAGTTGCAGCCCTCCTATAGAAAAAGAAAGAGATGTACAAAAAATGGAAGCTTGGAACAGTCTCTAAGGAAGACTACTTGACAATGGTAGAAAACAGATTAGGCAAGCTAAGGCAGAAACTGAACTAAAGCTAGCTACAAGAATCAAGGATAACAAGAAGTCCTTCTTTAGCTACATAGGGAGTAAAAGGAAAAATAATGGGAGTGTGGGGCCACTACTCAATGCCTCAGGATACCTGGTCACTACCACTCAGGAAAAAA